TTATCATGTCGTCTCCAGCTTTGTTCCACCAATCACCAAAGCCACATTTCCAAGTACGGATCTTTTTTTGTTTCCACCCTTCACATCTATCCATGCTTATTGAGTGTATGCTTGATAAATTTCAGACCATGGAAGATAATCCATTGTTGAAGGAAGAATTCTAAGCTACGCTGAAGGCATTGGCAAAAAAACAAGCTTTGAGAATTGACAGAGTGCCAATTGAAATGTTTCAATAAGTGAATGTTCTTCTAGAAGCACCCACTAGTTTACGAAGCTGGAGATTGTATGATAGAATTTTGCAAGACCAATGACTTCTTTATAGCAAGTACCATTTGTTAACAAGAAAAGTGATGACTATAGGATGAACAACGGAAACCATGGGGGAAGGGAGACAGCGGTTGGTGTAAGATATGAAAATAATTATAATTTATCAAGTGGTCATGAGGGTGGGAGGGTGAATAAAAAGAGGATCCCAAGGACTCAATAGAAAGCAAATGTCTAGAAAAGAATGATGGCAACATATGTACAAGTATGCTTGATACAATTTATGCATGGATTGTTGTAAGAGTTGTAAGAGCCCCAATAAAATGCTCATATAATAATTAAAAAAAAGTGGTGACTATACACGTGGACTTCTCCAGCTAGTAGACACAGAAATCAAACTGACTACATCTAGGGGAAGACACAATGGAGAAGCTCAAAATCAGCAGCTAAAATGAGGCCAGGGGCTGACTGTGGAACAGATAATCAATTGCTCACATGTAAATTCAGGTTGAAGCTGAAAAAAATTAAAATAAGTCCATCAGAGCCAAACTATGACCTTGAGTGTATCACACCTGAATTTCAAACATCTCAAAATCAACGCTGCTGCTCTGAACACTAATGGCAGTAGGCATGATGCACTGTGGGATGCCATTAAGAACATCATACACGAAGGAAACAAGAGGTCATCTTAAAATGAAAGAAGTACCAAAAAAATTCAAGCCTTGAGTTGAAATATTGAAGGATTCTGTGGAATTATGCAGGAAGCAGCAGAAGAAGGTGGACATAATACACAAAGCCACTGTGACAAAATGAAACAGGCAACGTTCAACCATCTCAAGAGGTAGTATATGATCAAGAATCAATAATACTGAAGGAAGAAGTTCAAGCCACACTGGAAGCATTGGCCAAAAATACGGCTCCAGGAATTGATGGGCTACCAATTGAAATGTTTCAACAAGACTGGAAGCACTCACTCATCTATGCTAGGACATTTGAAAGATGCTGCTTGGCCAACTGGCAGGAAGAAATTCATATTTGTATCTATTCCAAATAAAAGTACAACAGAATGCAAAAAAAAAAATACAACAATATCATTGATAGCACAAGCAAGTAAAATTTTGCAGATCATCCAACACCAGTTGCAGCAGTGTATCGACAGAGAGATGTCAGAGGCTCAGGCTAGATTTAGGAGAGCAAAGGATATTATTATTTTTTTCAAAGGATATTATTGCTGATGTCAGATGGATCTTGGCTGAAAGGAGAGAATACTAGAAAGATGTTTACTTGTGGTTTATTGTCTGTGCAAAGGTATTTGGCCATGTAGATTATAGAAAACTATGGATAATTTTCAGAAGAATCGGAATTCCAGAACATTTCGTTGTGCTCTGTGGAACATGAAGAAGAATACAGCATGAGGCTTACTAACAACCTGCAATATGCAGATAACATAATACACTTGTCGATAGGGTGGAGGCCTTGCACCACTTGCTGATGAAGGTCAAGGGTTACAGACTTCAGTATGGGTTACCACTCAGTGTAGAACCCCCACGTCCCCCCACTAACCCCAAACCAATAAAACAGAACCCCCCAACCCACCGTCATTGAATCAATGCCTATTCATAGCGACACTATAGAGCTAGGTAGAACTTCCCTGTGGGTTTCTGAAACTGTAATTCTTTATAGGAGTAGAAAGCAGAGGAGTGAGGTGGTGGATTTGAATTGCTGACCTTGTCATTAGCAGTCTAGTGAATAACTACTATACCAGCAGGCCTCTTTGTAAAGAAGACCCATAGAGAACACCAGGATAAATAGAGAAAAGATTGAAGTGGTCAAGGATTTTATCTTGCTTGGATCTACAATTAATGCTCATGGAAACAGCAGTCAAGTGATCAAAGGTGCCTTGCATTGGGTGTAAACCTGTGGTACGAGACAAGAGTGTTACTTTAAGGACTAGGGTGTGCCTGACCCAAGCTAGACTGCTTTAAATCACCTCCTAGGCATGTGAACATTGGACATTGGATTAGGAAGCCCAAAGGCGAATTGATTGATCTGAATTACGGTGTTGGCGAAGAATGCTAAAAGGACCACGGACCGTCCGAAGAACAAACACATCTGTCTTGGAGGAAGCTGGGCCGGAGTGATCCTTACAGGCCAAGATGGCAAGACTTTGGCTCACAAACTTTGGACATGCTGTCAGGAGAGACCAGGCCCTGACGAAGGACATCATACTTGGTGAAGTGAAGGGGCAGCCAAGTCCCTTGACAGCATTGGTGGACACAGTGGCTGCAATAATGGGCTCCACCATAAGAACAGTGTGAGGATGGGGCAGAAACAGGTGGTGTTTGGTTTTGTTGCCTATGGGGTGGCTATGGGTCATCATCGGCTCGATGGCAGTGAGTTTGGTTGGGTTTGCTGAAAGCTCACCAAAGGTTTACCTCTGCAAAGAAGAATTTTAACAGTCAAATGGATAGGATGGCAGGTTCTGTGGAAACCAGTCATCCTCTTGCCCCGGCCACTCCTGTCATTGCCAATGGGCACATGAAAAGAGTGGCCATGGCTTCAGGGATCAAGGTTGCGTGTGAGCTCAGCAACATGGTTTTCCACTCATCAAGGCTGACTTGGTTACTGCCACTGCTGACTGCTCAATGTGTCAGCTGCAGAGGTCAACACTGATCCCAAGACATGGGACCATTCTTTGGGGAGATCAACTAGCAACTTAGTGGCAGGTTTGGATTTGCCTTCCCTGCTCACAATGCTTTTGACTAAACTGCATTCGTAGATATGCCGAATGTCTTACTGGCATAGCATCTCACGTAGCATTACCTTGGATCAAAGGACTCATTTCACAGGAAATGAAGTACGGCAATGGACCCATACTCATGGAATCCATTGGTTTTACCATGTACTCCACCATCCCGAAACATCTATCTATCAACATCCCGTTGATAGAACGATGGAATGGACTTCTAATGACACAGTTACAGTGCCAGCTAGGCAGCAATACCTTGGAAGGTTGGGGCAATGTTCTCCAGGAGACCATGTCTTAAGCCAGTGTCCAATATATGGTGCTGTTTCTCTAATAGCCAGGTAGAAAAGTCTACCTCTGATCCCCTTAGGAACCAGAGGGTGGAAATGGGAGTGGCCCCGATTATTCTCCTATTTCTAATGACGACTTGAAACATTTTTGCTTCCTGTCCCTGGAGCCCTATGCTCTTCCAGTCTGGAGGTCTTTGTCTCAAAGGGAGGGATACTTGCACCTGGAGACACAATACTGATTCCAGGGAACTGGAAGTTCAGAGTGCGTCCTGGGCATTTTGTACTCCTCATGCCTCTGAATCAACAGGCAAGGAAGGGTGTTACTGTAATGAATGTTGTGATGGATCCTGATTACCAAGGGGAAATTGGATTACTGGTAATATTTCATAACGAAGGTAAGGAAGAATATGTCTGGAATCCAGGAGCTTCCTTAGGTCGTCTCTTAGTATTATCATGTCAGATGATTAAAGTCACTGGTAAACTACAGAAACTCAATTCTTCCCTGACTAGGAATGGCCCCGATTCTTCAGGAATGAAGATTTGGGTCACCCCATCAGACCAAGTGTCATGTACTTGCTGAAGGCAAAGGAATATAGAAAAGGTAGTGGAAGACAATAGTTCTCTGACTACCAGCTATGCCATGTGAGTTAGTTAGTTTATTGTGCTAACCTGACCGATAAACACATGTGGGGTTCATTTGAAGGGCAGAGGGATAAATGGCTCAGGGAGCCTCGCCTTTCTAGTTCTCGGGTCTCTTGCTTTGTGATGGTCGGACCAGGGTGCAGCTGCCTTAGCAGTTCCCTGCTTCAGCTTGCAAGGCTGATTTCCTGCAAGACATCCCCAAGAAGAAGCCACATGGACCTACCCTGATGCAGCCCTGGGTGCTGGAGCACCCGTGTGGAGACCCCTGCCAGCGCTTAGATGCTTACACACTCACTGACTTGGCTTTCCTCCTGCAGTCGGTATCATTGCGTCTGTTTTGTGAGATGGAGGAGGACTTTGTGAATTGGTGTTGGACATGTGGGTTAATGTTGGACTTGTGGGCTTGGGCAGCACTGGGTTGGGGTATTTTCTTGATGCACACTTAACCTTCACATAAAACTTTCTCTTATACATGAGTTTCTGTGGATTTGTTTCTCTAAAGTACCCGGTTTCATACACCATGTAACCAGCTGCAAAAATAAGAACTGTAATTGTTCTGAATCTTTCCTCTTTATATTTAGGCATCAAATAATTTTGTCTAATTCACTTATAGAATATAAAATGTCAATGAGGTTAATGCAGTTCCAGTTGTATGTGTATTAGTTGTATCATGTTAAGTGTGCAAGTATGCCTTTATCATTGTCTTTGTTTGGAGACTGTGCTGTTTAAGGAGATAGGTATGAGTGCCAAGTTAACTGTGAAAGTTAGGTTTTATGTCAACTTGGGTGGGCCAGGATTCTCCACTGATACGATTTAACATGCTACCTCGCTTCAGAATTGATAGCCAAGTTAAAAAAAAGTAGCAACCGCTGGAAGGTGTACGGAGAGATTAGAACGGTTATATACTGCTGGTGGGTCTGTAAAATAGTATGTCACTGTGGAAAATGGTATGGCGCTTTCTCTAACACTTGGGACTTGAAATATCCTATGACTCAGTCATAGTGCTCCTTGCTATATACCCTACAGAAATAAAGAACAGACTCCTCCTGGTCTCCACCATGGTGCAGGATCAAGGTGAAAAGGAGAACCCGATGCGGGAGCCGGGCATCCCCAAGCTCGGCCTCCACATCTGCGTGGGGGAGAGTGGCGACAGGCTGACCCGGGCGGCCAAGGTGCTGGAGCAGCTCACTGGCCAGACCCCCGTCTTCTTCAAAGCCAGATACATCGTCAGATCCTTTGGCATTAGGAGAAATGAAAAAATTGCCGTTCACTGCGCAGTCCATGAGGCCAAGGCAGGGGAAATCTTGGAGAAAGGTCTGAAGGTGTGGGAGTACGAGTTACGGAAAAATAACTTTCCCAATACTGGAAACTTTGGGTTTGGGATCCAGAAACACATTGATCTGGGGATCAAATATGACCCTAGCATCAGTGTCTACGACCTGGACTTCTATGTGGTGCTGGGGAGGCCAGGCTGGAGCATTGCCGACAAGAAGTGCAGAACAGGCTGCATCAGGGCCAAACAACAGAATCGGCAAAGAGGAGGCCATGCGCTGGTTCCGGCTGAAGTGTGATGGGATCATTCTTCCTGGCAAATAAATTCCTGTTTCCAAAAGACGAATTAAAAAGTTACAGTGAAAAAAGAAAAAGAAATAAAGAACATAGTAGGAACAGGTATCTGTAAGCCATGTTCATTGCTGCACTAGTCACAATAACAAGATGGAAACCACTTAGATTGCTCATCGGTGGAAGAATGGATAAACAAACTCTGGTACATACATATAATAATGGAATACTACACCATTGTTAAAAAATAGTGATGCAATGGTGAAATCCTTAATGACATGGCTGGATTTGGAGAACATTATGTTGAGTGAAGTTAGTCAAACATGAAAGGTTAAGTATTGTATGAGATATTCGTTACATAAAAAAATCAAGAAAAGGTTTTCCTACTGCAATAAACAGGCTACCAGAAGTGGGAGGCACAGGAAGGGCAGGGGAAGGAACAGGATAGATGATACCAGAACCCCAAACCAAACTGACTGCCATTGAGGCAATGCGGATTCACAGTGACCCCCCAAAAATCCTGTGGGCTTCTGAGACTTTAAGTGTTTACGGGAGTAGGAAGCCCAGGCTTTCTCCCAAGGAGATGCTGCTGGCTTCATAGTTTCTAACTGCCGACCATGCAGATCACAGCCTAAAGCGTAACCACTACACAACCAGGGATCCTGGGCTAGAGGATATCAGGTGTTAACTTGGGCGAAGGGGACCATAATAAGCTACAGGAGGAGGATGGGGTAGAAAGGGGTTGGGGATAGGACAAGCCACTGGGAAGTGTGACCAGTTGGCTAAGTTGTTTAATACAAAACCGATGATCTGATGTGTAAACTCCCCTGTCATAATCAAAAGTGTGGGGTGGGGTGGGGGGGGGGAGAGAATAGAAGTCGGGAGAATGGCCTTGTTTTAGTCCCAATTTAAGAAGAAACCTTTCTCTGTTAAGTATAATGTGGACTATTGGTTTTCCATATATGCCTGGACTCCTATTGAAAAAGCTCCCCTCGATTCCAATCTTCTTATGGATATTCATCAAGAAGGTTAGATCTTATCAAATGTTTCTACATCTGTAGAGATATGATCATGTTGTTCTTGCCCTTTGTTCTATTGATGTGGTGCATTACGTTGATTAATTTTCTAGTGTGAACCATAGTTGCATTCCTAGAACACATCTCCTTTGGTAATGGTCTCCGGTGGCATAGTGCTGATGTACTGGGCTGCTAACCACAAGGTCAGTAGTTCAAGGAACCACCAGTCGCTCCAAGGGCGAAAGATGAGGCTTTCTACTGTCCTAAAGAGTTTTAGTCTTGGAAACCCTCAGCGGAAGCTCTATCCTGGCCTCTAAGATAGCTATGCGTTAGCATCTACTTGATGGCAGTGAGTTTTAGTTTGTTTATTTATTTTTGAGTTGGTTATAGCGTATCCCCAGTACTGGGAAGTTGGGTTCTCATTTTCTTTTTTCTTTTTTTCTTTTTTAACATTTTATTAGGGGCTCATACAACTGTTATCCCAATCCATACACACATCAATTGTGTAAAGCGCATTTGTACATCGTTTCTCAAAACATTTTCTCTCCATTTAAACCCCCGACATTAGGTCCTCATTTTTCCCCTCCCTCCCCGCTCCCCCATCCCTCATGAGCCCTTGATAGTTTATAAATGGGTATTTTGTCATATCTTGCCCTGTCCGACGTCTCCCTTCATCCACTTTTTGGTTGTCTGTCCCCCAGGGAGGAGGTCACACACAGCTCCATGCAATCGGTTCCCTCTTTCCTACCCACTCTCCCTTTACCCTCCCTGTTTTGCCACTCACGCCACTGGTCCTGCAGGGCTCATCCGCCCTGGATTCCCTGTATTTTCAGTTCCTATTTGTACCAGTGTACCTCCTCTGGTCTAGCCAGACTTGCAAGATCGAATTCGAGTCATGGTAGTGGGAGCGGGGAGGAAACATTTAGGAACTAGAGGAGAGTTGTATTTCTCATCGTTGTTACATCGCACCCTGACTGGCTCATCTCCTCCCCGAAACCCCTCTGCAAGGGGCTCTCCAGTGGCCTACTCATGGGCTTTGGATCTCCACTCTGCACTCCCCAAGCATGAAGATCTTATAGCTAGCCTTTATACTTGTCCATGCAATCTTCTTTTTCAACATGCATGGCTCTGAGTTTCTTTCTAGTGGGTTTTCCCTTCCATCTGCAGAACGCCCTTAATAACTTTTGTAGGATCAGTCTGGTAGATATGAACTCTCTAAGCTTCTGTTTATCTAGGAGTGTTTAAAATAATTAAAAGATCATTTTGTTGGGGTCTCTTACAACTCTTATTACAATCCATACATCAATTGTAGTCGACATATTTGTACTTATGTTGCCACCATTATTTTCTAGGCAATTACTTTCTATGGAGCCCTTTGTATCAACTCCTCTTTCCCCCTTCCCCCCACCCTTGTGGCCACTTGATAGATTATAAATTATTATTATTTTCATATCTCACACCAACCTCTGTCTCCCTTCTCCCATGGTTTCTGTTGTTCTTCCCCCAGGAGGGGTGTGTGTGGTTCCCCCTTCCTCCCCTCTCCCCACCCCGCTTCCCCTACCCTGCTGGTATTGCTATTCCCATTCCTGCTCCTGGACTCCGTGTGTTATGAGCTCTTATCTCTTATCTGTACCTGTGCACATGCTCCTGTCTAGTCTGAAATGAGAAGCAGCACTGGGGTCATAATAGTGGGAGGCAAGGAAGCCTCGAGGAACCAGAGGAATATAGTGTGTTTCCTCAATGCTTTACTGCACCCTGGTTGACTCATCCCTTCCCTGTCATCCCTCTGTGGGGGGATGTTCCATTGTCTACAGATGGGCTTTGGATCTTTGCTCCAATCTCCCTCATTCTCAACAATGTGTTCTTTCATGGTTTGTTTGTTTGTTTGTTATGGGTCTTCTGATGCTTGTTACCCGGTCCTGTTGACACCTCATGATCACACAGGCTGGTGTGCTTCTTCCATGTGGTCTTATTTGCTTCCCTGCTAAATTGCTGCTTGTTTATCTTCAAGCCTTTAAGGTCCCTGATGCTATATCTTTTAATAGCCGGGCACCATCAGCTTTCTTCACCACATTTGCTTATGCACCCGCTTTGTCTTCAGTGATTGTGCCTGGGTCACCCTCATTCCTGAAGGAGCATTTCTCTGCAGTGTGCTTAGGTGTCAGGTTTTCCATCTCCTTCAGCACTTTAGGAGCACCATTCCATTGCTTTCCTGGAGCTAATGTTTCTGAGGAGAAACTGGCACTTAATCTTACTGCGGATCCTCTGTCTGGGACCATCTGCTCCTCTTTCATTGCTTTCAGGCCTCTCTTTATCATTTTTGAGAGTCTGATTATGGTGTGCCTCAGTATAGATTTCTTTGAGTTTATCCTTCTTAGGGTTTTTTGTTTCTTGGATTTGTTTATTCATGCCTTGTGTCAGACTGGAACAATTTATTTTTTGGGGGGGCATACCCCCTTGTAGAGTTTGTTTTTAATAATTTTATTAAGGGCTCATACAACTCTTATCACAATCCATACATACATCAATTGTGTAAAGCACATTTGTACTTTCGTTGCCCTCGTCATTCTCAAAATATTTGCTCTCCACTTAAGCCCCTGGCATCAGCTCCTCATTTTTTCCCCTCCCTCCCCGCTTTCCCCTCCCTCATGAACACTTGATAATTTACAAATTATTATTTTATCATATTGTAGTATAAAGTTATGGGGGGAGGGGCTGGCCCCCCAACACTACTACTCACGGGTTCAGTAAGCACAATTGTACGGTTGAGATATAT